ATTTGTCAACTCATTACATCTATTATCTATACATAAATACACAAGCGCTTAAACTAAGGAGCACTGTTAGAAAGTACTATTTAAATCGGGAGGTCAGGGTCAGAATTCACTGCGTATAGATCTCTAAGTCCGGATTTTGGTTAAACGTTTTCAGTGGTTAAACGTTGTTAAAACAAAGCCCACAATAGTGTATTGGTCTATCAAGGCTGTAGCCTGGGTGAATTCAACGGCATCGTAAGCTTAGCTGAGCCAGGCTGACTGCCTGCCTCGGTGCACCCTGATGAGACCTGGCTTGTGTAGGCCCTGACAGTGTTTTGAATTCCTTGTTAGCCTCAGAGCGTCGCCTTCATGCTACTTAGTTCTAAGGGTGACCTGAAGAACATTAGTCAACAAATCAAACAAAAAAATGTTGCATTTTGACGTTTGAAATTCGAGTTAGTTCACTACACCGACTGATGTATCACGTCTGAGTCCATGATCATGCTGGCCTTCTTTCTTTAAACCTCCTTCGATTGCCATGAGGTCTACGGTGATTCTACCGTTACGAACCATAGCAAACATGATTTCCGATGTTTAAAATTCTAGTCACCTGCATGTAGTCCGATACATGTAGTCCATGATGAGAGTGGCCTCCTTCCGTTAAATCTTCTCCCATTGCCTTAACGTCTTTGGTGATTCTATAATCTATACATTTCTCATGTTGCGGCAGTGGGACAAATGTTTGTTCTGGTCAGATAAGATTGCCGTAAGTCCTGCAAAATGTTGTGTTTGTCTTTGGCCTTATGACCGACTGATGATCATATATTGCTTTGCCGCCACCGCTAAGCCGTTAGTAAAGTTTTCCACATATTCAAGGACGTCGCAAAGGTCAAATGTAGAAAACTTTGTGTGTTTTCTTCCATATAATTCAAACTGTCAGTCTTATACGGTTGGCACGCAATGGTTTCAAGCCTTAGGCTTAGGCTTAGTCTTTAATGGGGGTTTTGAGCTCATGCGATTCTCATGTTGTTAATCTAAGCCATATAAATGCAATTTCGTTTCATATTGGGTTTGGATTATCTGCCTCTGTAATTTCATGTTATGGAATGAATTATACATGAATTATAAATGAATTATACATGTAAAGTGGATCTAGCTAGCTATAGCTTTCTTAAATCAATTTATAGAACGATATACAAGCTCAACAAGTAATGTGATTCTTAATTCAATGGATTCAGATACCGATCATGATATTTTCAGGGATAAAAAGTGTTTGACGTACTTGCATTTATAAGTCGTGTGTTTAGGACTGCAATGAATTGCATGTAGTCGACTGATGCATATAGTCAGTACATCGCCTGATGAATGAGGTTTGAGTCTGTGATAGCAGCGGCCTCCTTCTGTTAAATCTTCTATTGCTTTAAAATCTTTGGTGAGCAGCATGCGATTGTACATCCATCTAGCGGTTCAACTCATTTTTCATGTACAGCATAGCGGCAGTGAGACGACAGGGGGTTGTCCTGGTTTTCATGAGATAAGATTACATTTAGAGTACGTAATCCCTACAACGTGCTGTGGTTGTTTCTGGCCTTGTGACCGACTAATGAACTCCTATTGCTTTACCTTTAAACCAGTAAGCCATCCAGAAACTTCTATACTCAAGGACGTCGCAAAGGTCAAATGTAGAAAACTTTGTTTGTTTCCTTCAATATTATTCAAACCTGTCGATACAATACGGCTCGCACGCAATGATTTTAATCCCTAGGCTTGCTTCTGTAATTTTCATAAAGGGAAATTGATTTCATGTGATTCTCGTGTTGTTAATCATATAAGTCATATAAATGCAGTTTTGTTTCATATAGTGGATTATCTGCGTCTGCAACGTCGTGTTATAGAATGATTAGTTGAATGAAATATGTATGTAAAGTGGATCTAGCTATCCAAAATCAATTTATAGAAGCTCAAGACTTAATGTGAATTCGACTGATGTTAATGTATTCTGACGTCAAAGTCAGATATTTCCAGAGATAAACAACGCGTTTGACGTACTTTGGTGTATTTATGAGTTGTGTCTAGACTAGCCTGTTGTGCAATTTGTGCAGATACAGAATGTGCGTATTAATCTCTTTCATGTCGCGATAGGCAAGCAAGGCAATGCATTGTACTGTCTAGCGTCAAACCCTGTGCCTAATTTGAATGAGACACTCATACAAGTCTTTAAGTTAAAAATTAACGAGCCTTCCAGCATCAAGTGACGTATAGGGCGGCGCCCATCACCATTTGCAATAGCCCTGGGCCATACAGCAGTTTAATCACTACAGTTGGGGGCTAGTCCACTGGTAGTGGCGTATGTTTAACTCCCATCCTTTTTCTTAAATACTGAGTGTTAAGCAGATAAAATAGCGCTTTTAAAGTCTTTGGTATGACTCGGCCGGGGATCGAACTCATAACCCTTTGAATGCACGGCGAGCAATCTTTCCACTTGGCCATTTCGCCGGTACAGTCTTTGTCAGGAAATACATGCTTCTACGGCATCACTGTAATGCATGTTGCAAATACATTATGAGCAGTGGCTCTAATGTAGCAGGCAGTCGGTCCGTCTCTATACAGGGATGATTGTAGAGTCCCGAGTCCCGATGTTATCGGTAGTGGTCCAGTGATAAGCGACCCTGGCTCTGGACCAAGAGGTTGGGGGATCGAATCCCGGCTATTGTCGCTCACCCGACATGCACGCTACTGAAAAAGGTCGCAGACTTTAAGAAGGGACATTAACCCATGTTCACCGTGCATGTCGAAAAGAGCTAGGGGATTTTCTCCGGTACAATAAACCTGTAAATACATAGAGTCTGTCTTCTCTGTCACGACCAGTGGGGGATCTAGCTCTTCAGTGAGCTATAACTGGTTCTAGATCACTTATACTTTCTTTATCTGTGTCTTTTTACTTCTCTGGACCACGTCTTCAAGTAACTAGCGCAGTATGTACGCCCACGGACACAATCCGGTTATAGCAGTCATTTCACCCACACTTCCTTACACTCTTTGATGTGACTTTGCGCTTCAATGGCGTTTTCGAGACGGCGCATTTAACATAAGGTTGGAATTTTATTTTGCAATCCAAGGAACAGCATTATGTGGACACATTACCATAAAGTACCAGTCATGTCCGCACCATCACGGCTTAACTGGAATCACTGCAAGATGGCAAACTATACAGTTTGTGACTTCGCAAGCATCACGATATTACATGAACCTCAGTATTGCAGCCGTAAAATGGGCACTGGGAAACCATTTTCAGAAAATGCAGATGGTTGCGTACTACGCTTTCCCTTTTTAGATTAGTCCGATGAATCTAAATTATGGTCGAATGCTTGGAAGTATTTTAGCAAGGCATATTGAATAGAGGATTTTTTTATTTTACTTTATTTTTTTTATATTTCATACGTTATGTTTTTAAGTAGAGTTGGTCATCATCATTCCGGGTAGCAGATGTGAAAGCAGTACGATGCCTGTTTGAATAAGGAAAGGACATAGAATAAAGACATGACTATTAATAATAAAATGGATTGGTCTTTACATTTCCGCAAAGCTAGATCTCTTAGGTAGACGATTTGGAGTGGAACTGACGATAAAACGCGATGGCACGGTCTTAGAGCGTAAATCACCTGTGCTTTTGGCTCCAAGGAGCGTGCCAATTTTCAGGATCAGGCAGTGATTATGGGGAAACATGATGATAATTTGATCAGGAATTTGACTGCTGCAAACAGGCAGATATTTTAAGAAAATGGCTACTAGATAGGCTTGTATCCAACAAGCGTTAGATATAGGGTATTAAACAAATGGTATCGCTGACAAAAGAGTCGAAAAGCCTTTCATTATATGATAAGTATCCATTCAAGTACGAATGCACATGAATAATAATTGTACGTATAATGAAAGTTAAGCCGAACACAGATAAGCAACAAACTACGGCACAGTTTGCAACGATACTGATATCAATGCAATTATATGCCAACGTTTTTTTTTCAATACAGCGATGTTTCTTACCGAATTAATGAAATAATCGTAAGAAAAACTTGTTCATACATAACAGTTTTTATTTATTCCATATATTTGAGAACATAGTGGATATCCTGAAAGCAATTTTATACATGAAGTGATGAATATCATTTTGGATTGCAGGATACACATATAATCAAACGCAACTTAACAGCGTACTAATTTGTTTTTCACGTATTTTTAAATTACCACAAGTTGGCACAACATCAAAATCGTAAATCTACAATAGTTAACATATACACAGATACTCATCACACAATTAAAAGGTAAACAAAACATACTGATTGTGCTTTTAGAATTGAAGTTAAACAAAGTACTGATTATAATATAATATTTCGTATTCAGATATCCATTTTATTATTACAATTAATATCACGAATAACAACTAACATCATTTATGTAGTCTGATTTAAACAGCTATTGCCACCTGAAAAATTATCTATCTGTATACTTAGTAATCCATTTTGTAGTATGCATCATTATCAATTTTTATGAGCCACCTTTACATAAATGTTACAAAGATAGCAATAAGACTAAACAATGGTTATGTCAAGACATGAAATTGCTAAATTTACATTTTGGCGATCCTGGAAAAAGCTTTGGTCACACTCAACCACTCTATCGATCAAATGTGCAGACTAAAAAAGGACTTTGATTGACATAAATGACATAAATATTACCTTTGCAAGAAGGTTATGTTTTTCTGTAGCATTTATATGATTGTGTGCATGCATGTTTTTATGTATGTGTATGTGTGTTTGTGTACATGTATGTATGTGTTTTAGCAATAGAACCAAAACTCAATAACTCAAGAAGCTAAGAAGGGATTATCATGAAACTTGGTAGGTAGGTGAGTCTTCTTAAGAGCTCAAAACTATAAGATTGTAGGGCTCTGTTGTAGAAGATAATGCAGAGAAATGCCGTTTTTATGACATTCAGTGATATGTACATGCTAGTGCCATGAATTATAAATACAACAAAACAAACTTTGCTTTTAGACAAATTAAGATGTGGGTGTTTAAAATTTCCTTCACATGGGTACATGTACAGTTTGTACTATTATCAATTCTACCACTTATGAGAAACTAATCTTTACATTTCACATTAAAGTATTACATTTCCTGTTTTACTGAGTCGCAATTAAAAAGCTTACGACACTCCGGATAATTAATCCAGATACTGGGCAATTGCAGCTAGAAGATAGCCCCGTTTAAGATTAATTCCTATTAGCGGTAGGTACAGTCACTGCATGGTGATTAGACTGCCTATTATAGTTCTGCCTATGGGAAATATCTGAGTTTTAGATGCAAGAGCATTTTTGTCATCATTATGGTCATTGATTGTCGTCATACATACAAATAGTGCTAATACTGCTACTTAACATATTTTTATATTAATTTTTGTTCAAATTTCCGAGTAAGATTGTACGCTTAAGCTTTCCTCTTCTCAAAGGATTTTATATCATGTAAGCTTCTAAAACACTTTAATGCTGATATAAATGTTGGAATGATATTGTATAGGAGCATGTGTTGTTTTGATTTTTCTCTAGCTCGGTAAGGGTTTTATTTGGGCTTTGGCGTCACACCCTCGTTTACGCGTTACTTTCTCGCCTTCGCGTTACATCCTCGTCTCTGCCATGCTTACGATTTCATTCTCCGGGGACCTCTCTTCGATAGCCCCGTTGCTACCGGTGATACCCTCCATATTGCTCGGGGGAGAGAACTTTCTGCGCCGACTGTCTCGCTGGAAGCTGCGGAGTGACCGTCTCAAGCCGTTACCAGTGGACGCTAGCTCTATCTTCACCTTGTACGTACGGCCGCTGGCAGGTCGCCCGTTTCCCCGCAGTTCCTTCCCACTGGTCCCGCCGCTGTCTTCCAGAGGTGCCGCCGCGCCGCACAGCCCCTCGAAACTGCGTCTGAAGTTGGTGTTGAAGTAGCCGTAGACGATGGGGTTGATGGAGCTGTTGAAGTAGAGGAGCCAGTGCGCTATGGGGAACATGTAGGCGTACAGAAAGCTGCGCTGCCAGACGGTCATCTTGTGGCGCTTGAAGGAGTCGATAAGGAGACAGGCGTGGATGGGCAGCCAGCACACAGCAAACAGGACCAGCACGGTGATCAACATTTTGATCACGCGAACTCTCTTCTTGGACACCTGAAATACGAAAGTCTGTATGTACTCAACTGAGGCAGTATTCTGAACATGTGACCCGACGAAACAGAGTAACATTAAAGATACCCAAAGCGATTTGAGGGAAGTAAAACAGGATTTTCAAAACCAATTTACTGGTCAAATTTTGATGCAGTAATTTTGCATCAATCCTATCCCAAATAACACACTGCATGATATATGTGAAGCAAAAATGTGATGTCGCTGACGGAAAACGGTAGCTTGTTTCGTATTGTAGGCTGGTTCTATATTTTGGTGGTGCCAAAAATTAAAGGGACTTCGAATTCTCACATGGCATGTTTTTGGACTATTTCGAATGCTTCGAGAATGATGAATGGATGAATGATGATGATGAAAATGTGCCAAGAAAAGGCAGTGGCAGTATTAGACAGACTTCCTTATCCTTACCATAATATTTTGTTTTGCCACCCTGAAATTGCATTGAATGCCTTTAACTGTCTTTTTACAAAAATTAAAACAATGAAGTGATAAGATTTAAAACGTAGAACGTTACCTGTGTGAGGTTAGACATTTTGGACAGGCGACTGGAGGCCATGGCCGGATTGGGCTTGTACCAGATGCGGAGAGAGATGCGGATGTACAGGTACAGGTTGATCAGCAGGGGGCCGATGTAGATGACGATGAACAGCATGAGTGTGTAGGCCTGTGTACAACAAGAACAATTTTGGAGTTGCAATTTTGCTTTGGCATTCCGTAAAGCATGTTTTGGTCAGGCTGTAAGAAAAGTGGGGTCGTGTGGCGTAATGTTAGTGTGTTCGGCTCGGAACCAAAAGGTCCCGGGTTCGAACCCTGACATGTTACCGATCTTCTTCCCTTGGGAAAGGCACTTTACACGACTTTCCTCAATTCACTTACTTGTAAATAAGTACCTAGCTTCGGCTAGGAACGTCCTCTCGAATAGGACGTGACACGGTGGACGTGAAGCCTTCTGGCGTTTGTGTGTGATATGTTACTTTCGATACCTTTGTCTATTGCAATTATATGATCATCACCCTTGTGCATTTACGTAGTTTGTGCCGCCTTTTAGTACGAGGCACAAAACACTCTGGATTAACAACCCACTTTCTTTATCGCATCAAAACGTCTAAGAGAGCTTCTTTGGCTGAGACAGTAACTGAGTTATAAATTGGCTAGCTGAAATAAGGAAGAAAGAAGAAAAACATTTTGTGCTTGTTCCTGGAGGGAAGGCGCGTATGTAGTTAGCCATCTAGGGACCAATTTGTTAGCCACACTGGGCCTCATTAGTTTTCGTTTGATGTAATGCATGGCACCCTATTGGTGTAGAAAATGACAGATTCTGGCACCTACTTTGCAAAAAAAATGTTTGATAGCAAGAATCGTCCAGGGAGGAAGGCCTCAGTTTGAAAGATGAACCTGATTCCTAAGTTTTCAATGCAATGGAGAAACAACTTCATTGTTACAAAATGCTAATGTCATTTGCTGTAAAAATATGTACCTACAATGAGTACTGTCAATGTAGTCATTAGTATTTTTCCCATTTTTCCCAAAAGAAATTTGGTTGCCCTCTAAAAGTGGTCAACATGCTGAAAAAGGGCAAATAAAAGATATCTGATGCCTTGCCAGAACGTGGATGGTAGATAAATATAAAGAGAGAAGACAAGGCAAGGTTCTGATTTATTGTTTTGTCTTTTACTTTGATACGGTGATGCATATCATTCCCTTTCCTGTGATGCTCACTGAATCAAAACCATTTGTACAATGATTGAAAACTTTTATTTTTATATTGACAAATGGATGTTGTAATAGTTGGCAGTAAACGTAGTACTATATAGGTATCATTTGTTGTTTAAGTAGGTTTATGATGTCTAAGTTTGAAAATCTAGGCTCGCCTTTTTTTCGCCCTGTCGCATTAGAGTTTAAGTCTATGTACTTACATGCAATGTGTTATCCATAAAATGTACTTGATGTGGCCTAAACACTCTGCTAGTAGTAATTTGACAAGCCCGTACCTGGTTGTACTCATTAGACGGCCATTGCTCATCGCAGAACTGCATGGTCTGGTTCTGGTAGTCGACCAGGACCTCCTCCTTGTTCTCGATGACCAGCGCCTGTGGCCACATGATGAGCGCGCTGAACACCCAAATGGCCGTGATGATCTGCACGGCTCGACACTTGGACATCTTCGGCTCTCGCGGATTGATGATGACCTGGAACCTGAGTGTGGAGATAGGAAATGTGAATAAGGCCTCAGGAAGTCATTTTTGTGGATGACATTAGCGCGACCATTGTTTTTCCTTATTTTGAAAACAAATGTCTCTGACGGTGGGCAACGTGCCAAAAATGGACAAAATACTATAAAACGCTACTGGTTAGAGACCTTCAGCGACCCAGAAAACCTTTGCTTGCTTTTGATGGCAGTCTATGGTGTTCCATCGCGTATGAATTACCTCTTCAGCAATTGTTGATTGAGAAACATCTACAAGGACAGGTGATACTGTTAAATACACGAATAAAGACCCGCTGGTTGTGTTGTCATGTTTTGTGGCCTAGTTCTAGCTCAAGGTTTCTGATCTCAAAAGTTAAAAATGTAGGAATCTTATTTTTTGGCCCGCCTCGTTTTTTTTTCGCCCTCTCGCATTAGATTTGGAGTCATCCAGGAGGTTGTCATCCATAACATTTACTTGCTGTGGCCTAATTTCATGTCTAAAATTTATTGAATCAACGAAGCAGGCGCGTACTAATAGCTGAACGTCCTTATTTGGATTTGTTCGAACCGTACAACTTACGATGTGTTTTACCGGATAGATTTTGAGTGGGTGTCTAGTATTCTAGACTCTTCTGTAAGACTGCATAGACTCTTCTGTATAGACTCTTCTGCATAGACTCTTCTGTAAGCATTAGATGTTAAATCTTCAAGTGTTATAAATCGATCGAGATAAGATCCATTGACATGCAAATGCAGCAGCATGGCGACGCACAAAGTAATGAGATCAGCATCGTTGTACCATATCAGCGTCAAGTTATAACGTGGTATGTAATGTTCCACATATAGTTCTTATCGTAGAGTTCTATGCTGTAAAGGTCAAAGCTGATCATATCCACTAATGCTGAGAATATATATGAGGTTGTTTCTTCTTTAAGATTACTAAACAGGTCATGACCTCCCAAAGGCTGAGAAAACCAGACCAAACCATGTTTGTAATCTACCCATGTCCAAGGTATGTAAATTTTCTTTACATACATGCTTCAGACTTACTTTCGAACCAGCATACTTTTTAGATGTTTTATATCTTTTATCTCAATCAGAGTGTAGGTTTTCATATTTGATAAAAAGAAACAAGATAAGATTTTGTTTCATCTTTTGATTATCTGTTATTTTGGAATGTCGTCATATTGTTACGCTGTCCATAGAGGTCTTTAATCTGAACGTTTTGGATGCTTGGCATAGCCAACCACTGTGTGGAGTGAGTTGTTGTAGCCTGTAAAATTACGGATGGGATTCTACAATGCTGAATTTGCCCATCTTTACTTCATTTTCGTTGCAGCTGACTATTGTTGTACCTAATCTAATTAACTTGCTCCCCTCGGAGGCTCCCCACCATAGAACCTTGTACTGTGCCTAACGTGCCCCCCTCCCCATCATGATACCTTGTACTGTGCCTAACGTGCCCCCCTCCCCACCATGATACCTTGTACCATGTCTAACTTGCACCCCTCCCCACCATGATACCTTGTACCGTGTCTAACTTGCCCCCCTCCCCACCGTGATACCTTGTACCGTGTCTAACTTGCCCCCCTCCCCACCGTCGATAGCGCACCTGTCCACTGCCTATAGCCGTGAGGGAGAAGATGGACTCGCCCACTGAGATGCCCTGGACCAACGGCTGCAACTTACAGATGGCGTCACCAAATGGGTTACCTGCAAAAACAACACACAGCGCAAAGATGAACGGTTTAATGCAAAGAAAATCTATCGTTTTTAATGCACAAAGCCAAGCGTATGAATATTTATATGTTTACCGAAGGAAAACATGTTGTTTTTGCTCTGTTCCCTCTTCTTCTCCAAACAAATAAGGACAAATGACCTGAACGAGACGTATGTTACTGTGGTAACTATTGTTGCGTTACATCATGTTGCAATTTTATAGCAGGAGGGATTTAGACTCCTGTCTGAACGTATATATGAATGCGGTTGAGTAAGAATTAACAGAATAGGCCATATGCGAAGGTTGTGCATTTTCGTACCTTTCTTGTATTTCATATGCATATATATGTCTTATAAACCATCAAACACTAGAAAGGCCAATATTTGCTTTGGAGCAAATACAGCGATGGGTTCACCACATTTTACCACATGGCAGGGAAAGAATGAGAAACACAAGGGAAAACAATGATTTACATTGATATAACTATAATATGAAGTAACATACAACTAAAACAACAGTTGGATAGCTATTCCCTACTTTATTGGTTAGGATTTTTAATTGCATAATGCAAACTGTTGATTTTCAAAATAAAAAAAAAACGTTCATGCCCCGCATTCC